ATGTTTTCACATTTATAAAATTGTCAACAAATAATTTAATTAGTATTTATTTTGGGTGGATTAGAGCAACTTTTCATATTATAATTTCTTATTAATACTCACTATCATACGTAGCTATCAAAGTACTTTCAATATTTAAATAATATATTGTTCAAAATTAAGTAGATTTGTTTTGCTTTCTAATTTCATTTTGATTAAACTTTGGAGGATGTGATGTTATTGTTTAAATCAAACTAATTAATTTGTGATATATTTTTAATTTTATTAATATCATTATATCTATAGTAACTTGAGGATAATATATATATATATATATATATATATATATATATATATATATATATATATGTATGAATGGGTAAATACCATTTCCCCATGTACTCTCTAACCCCGAATCACTTTAAACCCTCATATTCTTAATTGCATTAATTTACCCATTCAACCTTCTCCGTCAATTTTCACGATTTTGACATTGAGGCGGTTTGGGCAAGGTCTGGAAATTAGAGAAATGGCCACTCACCTCGTTTAAATAGTTTGCATCGTTTTTCCACTCCCCTCTTTCATCAAATTTTCAAATCACTTTTCTTAAAAAAACAAAAAACAAACAACTATTTTCGCGATTTTTGGTTGTTTTCTTCCACAACAAGGTACGTGTGGAAATAGTTAACAACAATTATCAGAAAATATGCACTCAAGTAACATGAGAAGAAGTCGGAGTATCGGGAACTCATCCACTAATTTTAATAAAAATAGAATCAGTTGCTATGGTAAGTTTTTTAAGGTTCAATATGCTTTCACAAACAATATGCACGTCCTACAATTATATAGTGAATTATTGTGATTTTTTCAAATGGGTCGGTCCTCTGTTGTGCAAACGAGCTCGAGGTTGCGGGTATATTATCAACAAAAGGATGTTAGAGCTTAATAAAAAATGAAGAGTTTCAGAAATGGTTGAACACTTTTTCCATGAAAATGAGGAACTGAAGGCAAAAGGTTTAGAATTGAGACTAAAAACAAATGAACTTGAACAAAGAATTCACCATTCCTATAATTTTCACCTATAATTTTCAGACATTGACTATCGGCATCAAGGTCAAAATCGTGAAAATCGACAGATGAGGTCAAATTGGGACAATTGTACAAGTGCATGGCGTAAATCAACGCAATTGAAATTACGAGGGGATAAAGTGAATTCGAGGTCAGAGGACGAAGTGAGAAAGTGAAATTTGCCCTCAATAAATTTATATGTTAAATTAAAAGATGAAATTTAAAAGTAAGTCTTTTATTGTTTATGGTAGATGATAGTAGGAGCGTATGTAAGGCACCTCAATGGGAAGCCGCCTCTCCAGAAAAAAAAAAAAAAAAAAAGTCATTAGTTTTTTTTATTTATTTATACATTTTAGTCGATTTCCCCCCCCCCCCCCCGCCTAAAAAGTAACAGGAAATCCATATTCCAATTCATACAAAGACATATGTTAAATAATGTTTTTATACAATATATATATAGATATATATATATATTGGTGTTATTTTACTTTACTTCATATATGCTGAAGAACTAACAACTAATTCATTGCAGTTCATAAAATGAAGAGAGGAGATGAGAACATTCACTGTAATATATTATTCATCTCCTTTTAGAGGATAAAAAATAAATGTAAGAAATCACTTCCAAAGTGTCATTCCACTATATTTAAATTGTAGTCAACCGCTTTGGTTATCCAATTATTAAAATTAATGATCTCACTAATGCTCTCTATGTAAATTACTTTATTGGTTAATGAAATTTAGTGTAAAATAATTCAATGGTAATAAGGATAACAATATAAAAATAATAATTAATTCATTATTAAAATTATTATAATGTCATATATAACTAGTAATTCACACTTGCGATGCACATATGTCAATTTTAAAATGAGAAAACAATAATAATATATGTAATTGATTATATTGTTGTAACAAATCGAATTCAATTAAAATAAAATTAAGAAGATTAAACTTATCTGTTGATCCAGAGTTATAACATATGAAATGCAGTTAAATATTTTCATTAAATGGTACAAATATTCCCTGTAATGCAATCAAATTCACCATGTGAATATCATGTAAAATAGCCAACTTTAGCAATTAACATTACAATCGATAATTCAGTTTATCATACTAATACCAATAATAATACTAATATATTAATGTTAATAATAATTCTAATATATTAATACTAATTTATTAACACTAATAATAATATTAATGCTAGTAATAATACAAATATGCTAATCCTAAAACGAACATTGATACTAAATATACTAATACTAATGTTAATATTAATACTAATACAAATATTAATATTCTGACTAATACTCTGAATAATAGCAATGTCAATACTAATATCAATACCAATATCAATATCAATACCAATACCAATACCAATACCAATACCAATACCAATACCAATACCAATATCAATATCAATCCAATACCAATACCAATACCAATACCAATACCAATACCAATACCAATACCAATAGATACATAGTTCAATTATTTATAGACATGTAATCGACCTTAGTTCGTAGGGTCCCGATTTTAGTCACAGAAAATCCAATCCGTTTATTATTTAGTTTCTACGTATTATATATGATAGCAAACTGTAAATAAAGCCAATAATCGTTAGAATTCAAAAGAAAAAAAAAAAAGTTGCACATAACAGAATTTTGATGAAAATCATATGCTCGTAAACATAAATATGTGATGAAAATCATATGCTCGTAAGCATAAATATAATTATATGCACGTAAACATAAATATAACTATTGTGCGCACATAATTGAATTGTAACGAAAATCAAATATTATATGAAATCATATAGAAATGTATGTTAGTGATCAATATTTCATTATAATTAAGTAAGACAAATAGATTAAAAAAAGAAAAAAAATAATAAAACAAATCAAGAAAAAAGACGAAAACAAAAAAAATTCCGAAACAAAAAAAGAAACAGATGATGCAACTTTACATAAATTACAAAATAAAATATATAAATTTTAAATAGCGAAATTACATATATATCCATATATTATATCAACTTGATGAAACAATATTAAAATATTAGAAACATTACAGACATTTATATAAAGAATATAAAATTATTAATTCCATATTATTTTTTACATCTATCACTTGGATGACATTCTTTTAAGGAATAGAAAAATGAGTATTTTTTTCTCGCACAATTCATGTGAGATCCACAAAATTCTTTGTAATGATCCGACTCAATCGATGTCGTCACACAGCACATATGTCGATGTTATCCATAATATCTACAAAAATAACATAAACAAACAACAAATAACATGTTAGGCGAAATACATGTACATGTGTAAATAACCATTAGACACATTCACTATATCAAAATAATGAATAAAGTACATGTAAAACTATGAAAAAAAAAAAATTCCTTTTTACAGCCATTTCGGGCATGGACTATTTTTTTACTTTTCTATGAGTGTAAAATTCGGGTGGAGAGTATGAATGAGTGGAATTAATTGGAATGATGGGTATTTATACTTGTATTTTATATAAAAAGTAGCATTTTCCCCCGTGCGATGCACGGGATAACTTTTCAAATGAAAATAATTATTAGTTTAATACATGATATTACAATTATAATAAAATTTATTAGTGATATCAAAAACAACATCAACATTTATACAGATTTAATAATACAAACTCATTAAAAAAAAAAACTATAAAAACTTAATTGTCAATCATTAAATAAAGGGTAAATTACAAACACCCCCCTAAGGTATGGTCAAATTACAAAACACCCCTCATGTTTGGATAATTACAACCACCCCCTCAACTCCTCAAATTTAGTGAAATCTTCTAGATTATATGGAATATTATCACTTTTGTACCCGTTTTATCTCTTCAACGCTACATTATGAAGCAAGATGATCATAATATGTGATTTTTAGCTTGTATATATCAGTTTTTGGTGCATCGGAAACTATATTTATACACAAAACGAGTACAAACTAGAGCACTTTTCACGGAATCTAGATGATTATGTTGAATTTGGCACCATAAGGGTGGAGGTGTAAGAAAAACTCATAGTTGAGGGGGGTAGATGTAATTATCCAAACAAGAGGGGGTTTTTTGTAATTTGACCATACCTCAGGGGGGTGTTTGTAATTTACCCTTAAATAAATAAAGCATATTTTTTATTAAAAAAATAGGCTGGAAATAATAATTATTATTATTAAAAAAATATATAGATGTAGTGGATTATGATTGTGCTAGCCGAGACTTGGTGTTAAAATAATTAGAAAAAAAACATAGATGCAAAATAACAAATATAATTTAAGAATCTGCTACTAAAAATAACAAATCACAACTGCAAAAAAAAATGCGAAAATCAACTATATTTAAAAAAAAAACAAAAAAAAAATATACAAACATTATAATTGATTTATACAATTGGAATTTTTCTAACCGCGTCGTCCTTCGCCTGATCCACAAAAAAACCCTAGATATGCCTCCCATCGTCACCACAACACCGCCACACCACACATTTAACCAATCCCTAACATGAATAATATAAATAATTTATACAAAAAAAAATACAGATTAGCATTTCAATGTCCATAAAAAAAAAGGAACAATTCAAAGTATTTGTCAACCATTGTTGGCCACTGCATAAACAATTTCTGGACACATGACAAAACCAATACTAGAAAACTAAATAAAATTAAAAAAAAAAATAATAATAAATAATGAATACCTTCATCAACAATTCCCGTTGATTCTCCTCCGACGATGAGTGCTTCTTCTTCTTTCTCAACAGTCTGTTCCTCTGCTTCTTCCTCCACACTCCGACGGTCACTAATGAATACAGTAGAACCTCGATAACTAATGACCTCACTTAAACAATAATTTCTCTCTCCCAACTCAGTGACAACGTGATAAATTACTAATTCGACAATTTATTTCGCAAACAATTAATAAAATTTTGTAAATCCCAACTGTATTAATTTAACAACCATGATATACGAACCAAAAAGTCACAGTCAGCAATACTATACACACCAAGTTGCTGTTAAATTAGCAACAGCAAAAGAGTGGCCCCTAAGCCAAAATCAATAGCTATCTAATATGATACGATATACTAATTGTATTTCCAACAATTTGCTAATAAATAAAAAATTTACAACAAAATCAATAACTGCACCGAGCTTTTCGCAGATTAAATTAAATAATTCATTAGTCGATAATTATAAATGAAAATCATAAAGGTTTGGTGGATGCTTCCTTGATGTAAGCCGAGGCTTCCTCTTCGGAGAGTTGCTTTCCTTGCACAAGCCCTTTAACCAAGGTGTTAGCATACTCTTTACATGGTGGATTCACCCGATATTTACCCGATACGAAACTATCTACATCCGAAACGGTGCACCTGAATTTTAAGCAACGCGACAATGTAAATAAATGTCAAAACACCACAAAGTCCGTTTAACACAAATCTCGCATACATATATTAATAGATGTAGAAGTGTAAGAAAAAAAAAATATATATATATATATATATATATATATATATATATATATATATATATATATATATATATATATATATATATATATATATATATATATATATATATATATATATATATATATATATATATATATATATATATATATATATATATATATATATATATATATATATATATATATATATATATATATATTCAATATAGCAACGGAATCTCGATAGGTTCATGTTCGATCCATAAGTTGCGTACCATACGTAAATTTTCGAAAGCTCTGATCTCCATGACGGTGAAGCGGTAGTTGAATCTTGATCGTGTAAGGTCAACGGTTTAATTCAGCAAAATTAATTTCAAAAATGCGAGATTCACTTTCCGATTAGGAATTAATTTAAAAGCATCGGTTACCTTGACAATCTCCGGTGACTTTGAGGTTAGTGAAAGGTTGTATAATGTCTTCAATTGTTTGAACTTCTTCGGATTCGTTGATAGAATCGTTCTCGTGCTCACCTTCAGAATCAGAGCTTGAAACCTACATTAGGGGGTTCGTTAGAAAGTACGACTCTATGAAAATACTAATAGCAAATAGATTTAAAGCGGACACGATATTGGATAGATGAACCCGAAAAATTCTACTACAATTCGGAAATATCAGTCCCTAATTCAATTTTAGTTCTTGTATTGGCCCAAGGCCAACCGGGAGCAATGAAAAATGAAATACAATGATATTATATTTTTAAAATATAATATAAAGAATTAGCAACGAGGTTTACGTAGGAGAGGGTCATTGGCCTTTATGACACTAAATAAGATTCTTCTAAGAGCCGGTCGAATTCATGATAGTTAAATTGGAAGATTGGTTTTCCAGAAACCTCCAAAAGATAGAAAACGACAAGAGATTTATCGTAAATGATGTATCCTCGTTTTTTGTGTCTACAGTCAATGAAACACTCAACTATTCTACTATCGAGGATATTGCTAGATATTATAGCGGATAAAATAAGTGCTGTCGAGGGAACTCGTATTCATGTAAAGGTTCCGAAATCTGATGCACCTACCTATCGAGGGAGAAAATAATAAACAAATATACTTGCTATACATGACATTTTGAAATGAAATTTACGTGACCGAAGTTATATTAAAACGTGAACTTAGTTGATTTATTGTTTCACGAGCAAATACAAGGTTTCTCGATTTTAACTACGAACGAACAATATATTTATTTTAACAAGTATGCTTGTCTTAAAGGTAGTTTGTTGATTTATTACTCAATGAGCAAAATTATATTGCTATAAACTAAAAAGACACCCTTTATTTCTATGTTTGCTATAAGTCCATGGACTGAAAATAAATGCTCGGACTTGGGTCTGCAATTCTTGTGGGCCGCAGTTAGTGCTTTTGGTCGAGGGACTTATAGTAAAAACAATTACAAAGGGTGACCTTATATGAAAGGATTTTACTTACGACTTAACGTTTTTTTTCCCTTCTACAATTCCTTACCTATTTGGTCGGCGCTAATAATTGCTAAGAAGAGTGCCTTATCGTATACTTCCAAATACGAATTGCGAATGACGAAAAACAAGATGTAAGTGAAAATAAATGGAATTTAAAGAAAAAAAGGACTCAAGAAATTGATCATCTAACAAAGATGGAGATTTTAGTGCATTTATTACGGAAGATCAATTAGGAAGTAAACATTATAGAATACGGACATATATAGCACTTGACAACATTGCGAAGATATCCGGTGACAACTTTAGTTCTCCAATTAACGACTATATTTATTTTAAATCGAATCAACTTTTGAAAACATTGAAAACCATGGAATCAACTTTCAAATCTAATGAGATTCTTTTTGTTAAAAAAAAAACAAAAAAAAGGGACTTAGATAATATTGTTAGTATTACTGAAAAATGCAAAGTTCTAAAAGCTCAGAGAACAGATGTTCAGATTAACAGGTAGAATTTCTGTTAGTGTTACGGAAGAAGTTTCGAGTTTAATATCATAATTCTAATACTGCAGAAGTTATTAGTTTCTTCTTATGCACAAAAAGGAAGGGCAAATCAGTAAAACTTAAAAAAATTATCTCCGCCTCCCACGCCATTGGTATCATAAAGACGAATCATTCTCTTCCTCCTAGGTAAAACGTAAGCCCCGTCACTATTTGAAACACATTTTAGTCTTCTTTGTTTTAACTTTCTTCAACTTAGCACGCTGAGAGCGTCAGAGTTGTCAAAATATGTTGACGGTCTCCAAAATACGGGGCGTTAGATGCTACACCTGGTTATTTACACCGGGTGGATTTGAACCGTAGATTTGATAAAATAACAACCCACTAAGCACACATACACATGGGTGTGTGTGTGATTATGTGTAGATCTACGGTTCAAATCCACCCAGCGTAAATAACCAGGTGTGGCATCTAATTTCCACAAAATATTGTGCAACATTAAAAGATAAAGAATGACAATAACTTCTTACCACAAACGGCGATGCCTGACTAATCAACTGTTCTGGTAATTCCGCAGCAAGTATCGGCCAATACTTACTCAATTCTTTACGTACCTAAAATGGAATAAACATGCGAATTACAGATAGTTTATCAAAGTTTCTATATATAGCAAGAAAACGTTTAATCTATTAGTTTTACCATTTGTATCACCCGCCACGTAGATTCAAAAGGATATACATTCAAGGACCGAATTACAGGCTTGTCATGTAGCAATACTTCGACACATGCCTTAGCTGATTTTGCTAATGAATTGAGATCGTATCCACCTTCGAGTGCCATAACAATCTTTCCTCCCGCAAACCCCATCAACTACATATAAAAGGGAAAAAAAATAAAAAAAAAAAAAAAAAAAAAAAAAAAAGAGAATGAACATTGAAAAGGAGTTGTGGAAATTGCATGGAAGTAGGATGAACAATAGAAAGATGACGGGATGGTTTTTTTTTTTGGGTAAATTACGGCCACCCTAAGGTAAGGTCAAATTACGAAAAGCCCCCTCATGTTTGGATAATTACAACCACCCCTCAACTATGAATCTTCTTACACATCCACCCTTGCGGTATCAAATTTAGTGGAATCTTGTAGATTATGTGGAATATTCTCCAATTTCTATCCGTTTTACCCCATTCGAGCTCCACATTTTGAAATAAGATGTGTCCCTTTATAAATATCAGATTGTGGTGCATCAGAAACAACATTTTTGCACAAAACGGGTACAAACTAGAGAACATTCTATGGAATCTAGAAGATTCTGTTGAATTTGACACCATAGGAGTTAAGAGTGGACGCGTAAAAAGATTCATAGTTGAGAGGGTGGTTGTACTTACCCAAACAGAAGGGGTTTTTTCGTAATTTGACCTTACCTCAGGGGTAGCCGTAATTTATCGTTTTTCTCTATTGAATAATGATTTAGTAATTTCAAGTGCTAACCTTGTCAAGCATGACTGAGTAACCGTACGGGGTAACAGAACAGCCCCCTAGAGGATCACCTACGGCTGTTCAAATCAAAATCACAGGAATTGAAAAGTCGTGAATTTAATTTTTTATTTCATGAATTTAAAAATCGATTCATTAATAAAAGCTAACCTGCATCGAATCCAGCAGAGATAAAAATCAAGTCGGGATTGAATTGTTTGGCAACGGGGATTAATACGTGGTCCCAAACAGCAAGGTAGTCGGCATCTCGGCACCCACCATTCTCCCAAGGTACATTAATATTGTAGCCGGCGCCTTCTCCTTTTCCGGTCATGATGTGGGACCCACCATTACCACCCGGATAGAAATCGCCGTTATTATACCTAATTCAGACGACAAAATTAAAATCCCGATCAACAGATTAAAATGCGAAATGAAAATTTTGATGTACCTATGCACTGAGAAGAAAAGTACTCGAGGGTCGTTGTAGAACGTATTTTGAGTACCGTTTCCGTGATGTACGTCCCAATCAACAATCAGGATTTTGCCGATCCCCAACTCGCTCTACAAGATTATTTAAAAAAAAAGTTTAAAATGAACTTGCATATTCGTGATTAGAATTAAAATTGAAATTTAAACGAGCTCTCTCACTCTTTCATTCAGTAGAAATCGTGTAGCAACAGCAACATTGCTGTACAGGCAAAATCCCATCGGTCTGGATTCTTCTGCATGATGTCCAGGCGGCCTGACGATAGCAAATCCAGAATCCAGTTCCCCTTTAGCAACTTTCTCTGCAACCTACGGTACCAAAAATACATAGTTGGAGAAACCCGAAAAAAAAAAAAAAAAAAAAAAAAAAACACACACACACACACACACCCCTTGATCTAAGAATCAGAGATGATTTCTACTTAAAAAAAATTAAAGACTTAATTTTGTAACATTCTCGATGTAGGATATACTATTGAAAAGGCATACCTCTATAACCGAGCCGGCAGCAAGATAAGCGGCTTCTGATGAGCCTTGGTTGAAATATACAGAGTTATATTGTGCAGCAATTCTTATCAACTTAGAGTCGGAGTTTCCGGAGCTAATATTCTTGATCAAATTAATATGATTTTTGGTGTGAACCAAAGCTAATTGATTATCCTCAGCGTCCTTGGCATCCAAAATAACACATCTGGAAATACACATCTTCATTTAATTGAACAATTCAAAGTCGAAGCAGTTAAAGGAAAGGGTAAAAGCATTGTCTTAGATCTTGAAAGAAACCACTGCCGTTTTAGCACATTTTTTTGTAAATAAAACAAACAACTGTTTCTGCATTAGGAAACAAAACTCCGAACATGATTGAAGAAAACAATTGCAAGAACCTCAGGTAATGTTTGCTAGCATTGTGGTTTTGTTTCCACTGTTTTCCCAAAACGAATCGAATCTCGCTACCAGTTGTCCTAACATCAATTGGAGTTGTCCTAACATCAATTGGTGTCAGGAAAAGGTGTAAATCCTAGCCTTATAGTGCATTCAGCACACACAAGCGACCACGACATTCTATTGTGGGTCGCCCAGACTCAGGCCTCCCTCACGTGGACAATTGCTGTCAAATCCAGGCTAACAGAATCTATGTTCGTTCATACTTATGAAATATTTCTCCGAAACAATTCCAAAAACGTATCTCTCGTTCAAACATGATTCGACTTGACTTTGGATGTTCATAGTTTTTCACTAAAAAACAAACAAGAATCACTTTTGTTTTAAGATTCAAAAACGAATCTATGTTAGTTAATACTTGCAAAACATTTCTCCGAAACAATTCCCAAAATGTATCTCTCGTTCAAACATGATTTGACTTGACTTTGGGTGTTCATAGTTTTCCACTAAAAAAACGAACAAACATCACTTATGTAATTCTTCATCATAAAAAAAAACATTTTCCGACATATTCAGACGACGTGATTTGACTGCTACAGCATATCTAGACACGATTTGACACGATTTGCCTGCTACAATGTCTTTTTGTCTCCTCCCACGACATACATAAACATTACTTTCGTTCTCAAATTCTTCACCCAAAATTAATTATGTGTCCATTCATACAGCATGCACACCAAACCAAATTCACAACACACACACACACACATACACACACACACACACACACACACACACACACACACACACACACTAATGCATAAAAAAATTGGGTGAGAGCAAAAGGGACCTATTTGCAATCCCAGAAGAATTCAGAATTTCCCAGATGACCCGAATGCGAGCAGGGGATTCCGGGTGGTCGTCGTCGTCAAGCGCGTGGTGTCCACACATCCTGGCATCATATATCAAACCCACGCGCGGATCTTTTTCAGCAGCAGCATCGTTTGTTCTGCTCAGTGAACTCTCAATCTCACCATTTAACTCCATTTTTTTTTCTCTTTGGGTTTTTTTCCTCCGGTTTGAATTTTGAAGCAGCGAAGAGTCGGGTGCAGAAAGGAAAAGCAAAATTGCACAGAAATCTTGGATATCAAACGTCTTCTACCCAATTTGACTTTTTTACCCTTTATTTGTCCTTCTCCTATTGTTGCCCTTTTTCTTTATTCTCTGTATTTTTTTCTGGTGGGCTCTTTTGTACTTTGAGTACACTTCTTTTGATGAAAATCATTGTCCAAATTTTGGAGATGTGGTTTTGCTTTTGTCTTAGAAATCAATTACACTAAGATATTTATAAAATTAGTACTTTTTTAATTATGACATTCTAATAGTCAAAATATACAATACATTGTGATCGGTAAACTATTTTAATTGTCAAATGTTATATACATCTTATTTATAAAATAAAGATACGTTGGCAATCCTAAAAATCCTAATGTGATTTTTCTAGTTATTTACTTTTAATATTTTTTCTCTACTAATTTCTAACTATAATTTTCAACAATTATCAAAATTGAAACTAAACCGTGAAGAATCCTATCCGAATGGTACATCTGTTATTATTTATTTTAAATATTTTTGTTCTCTACTAATTTTTTAAATATAATTTTCAGCAATTATCAATCACCTATTTTTCATCAATGTATCTCAAATCTTAAGAGATAAAGATAGAAATTCGATTTGTTAAATCTTAATATGTTACATTTATAATACTGCATTATTAATTTTTTCTATGTTACTATATTTTCTCATTATATATTAAAGGGACAATTTGCTATAGGTCCAAATTTTATGTGAATAAATCATAGTCAAAAATCCTATTTTTTTAATAAATTAATTGTATTTATCATGGCAAAAATACCCTTAATTAATCCAAATCAAACCACCCCAAAATATCTCTATCAAATTAAATCCCCCAAAAATCTCTCTATCAAATCAAATTCCCCAAAAAATATTGCTCTCAATTTTAAATAAAAGAACAACATCACGTTCGTAAAAGAAAATATTTGCTGAAAAACGCAGACTCTCAAAAAAACTTCCACAATGATTTCACCATATTGCAAACAACAAACTGAAAAATATAATTTGCATTATTTAAGTGCAAACAGTAGACTACCTATTAATCGACCAAATGCAAACAACAAACTACTTCATCTAATTGCGAACAGCAAACTGAAAATATGATCCAAACCATCTAAATTCAAACGCAATAACAACATTAATCAAAATAATAAACATAATACAAATGTAAAAAACAACAACAAAATCTTCCAATGTCTAAAATTGCGATTTGCAGTTTGCAAAAAAATCAACTGTTATGGATTGCAATTTGCAGTTTTCTGTTATATGCTTCAAATTTATTTTGCCATTGCAAAAATTTTTTGTTGTTTGCTGGAGCAAAATCAATTAGAAAACACAAATAAAAATTATAAAATCACTACAAATAAATACAGAGAGTGAGAAGTAAAGAGCTAACTTTTTGTAAGCAATGAGTTGTTTGTTGTCGGCTATTAACTCTTTCACCAACATATAATCTCATAATGTAAAGAAACTTTCTTTTGTTTCCCTATGTATTCCATCGGAAAAATCAAAGAGTGTATAAGGAGGGAGAGAGAGAACGTGAAAGAGTAGAGAGGAGAAAGGAGAGAGAGAGAGAGAGAGAGAAAAAAAAACGTGAAAAGAGAAAGGAGGGAGAGAAGAAAAAATACGTGAGAAGATAAGAGAGGAGGAAGGAGAGAGAGGGAGAGAAAAAAAGAAATACGTGAGAAGAGAATAGAGAAGGGAGGAGAGAGAGAGAGAAATTTATGGAAGGAAGATAGTGATATGTAAGATTTGTTTTCTCACTTCTTTACGTAAAAAACTAACTCCACATAAAACAATTAATAATTTAAGGGTATTTATGTCTAATAACTTGTAAAATTATTTAATTTATATTATTTTTTTGAGTCAAGGGACCCACACCTATATTCATCTACCACATTGGATCTCCACCTATATAAGTCTAGAATAAGGGGTGTCTAGCCAATTTCCCCTATATTAAATTGATTATTTTTTTCACTTTTGAAATAATATCCCGTGCATTGCACGGGGAAAAAAATGCTAGTTTATATTTAAAGGCACATTACAAATAAGCTCATGAAGGTGTGTACTTATTCATAGATGGATGCAGACAAAAAAACTCTTTTACAACAAAAGTTCACACATTGTCCAGAGTTTGTGAAAGACTAAAATAGCACATCACATTATAATATGCTTCAATTTCATCATTTAATTTAGGGGTCATTAGCAATAAACCCCTCATATAGATAATAAATGGTGATATGTCCAACCCTTAAATCTTTCTTTGTGATAACCCCTAGAATTTGTATTTCCAATTCTACCCTTATGTCAATTAACATAATTAGTCTCAATTATTCCTTTTTTCACTCTTTCCATAACAATAATCTAATTCCTAAAAATCTACTTCCAAATTTCTAAAAATTTGCTACCAAATCAAAAAATAGGATTTTTTTTTGTATTATTTTCGGATTTTATAGCCACTTTTTTATTATTTATTATTTTTTAATATTTTTTTAATAAAAAAAATATATTTTTTTATTTTTTTTTAAACAAAAATTTGATTTTTTTTTCTCGACAGATTTACAACTCCGAATATGACTATAGTTGAATATTGCTATTATGTGACTACGCTGTGTATAATAGTGTAATTAACATATTGTAGAAGCATAATTATTAATATAACAGTAAGAATATGACTACTATGTGAATGTGACTGTGCTTTGTAAAACATTATAATTAACAGACAGTAGAAACATGAATATGACTATTATGTGACTAAAGTTTGTATAACATACTGAACATGATAGTGGGAATATGACTATTATGTGACTAGCAACCGCGTAATGTGACTACAAGTAATCAGCACTTGAAAAAACTTGCAATATTAACAGCAAAATACATTGCAAAAAGAAAAAAAATGACTATGAAAAAACGAAAATAACTAATGTGATCCTTCAACAATGGCCATCGAACATGTTTTTTTGTTGCGGTATCCAACTCGGTTGCACCGACTGCACTTAATCTTCCGTTTGATCTTCTCTGTTAAATATGACTACACTGTTGAACATATGCAGCACCACAAAAAAAAAAAAAACAAATATAACTAAGTTGTTAAACATGACTACTCTGTCAAACGTGACTACTCTGTAAAATACATTGCACCACAACCGACTAATCTCGTAATTCAATAGATTTTCCAGATCTAAACATTCAGGATATGTAGAATAACACAAAAATTAATAAAATCAAGAATAATTGAAAATCAATGTATTCGTTCATAACAAACAAATAATAGAACTAAAAATCCAGATCCATGACATATTCTATTGCTAGTTCGACAATTAATTCGAGAAAAATAAAAAATAAAATTTACCAATTAATATAGTATATATTGGTATTCCGCGTTGAGAGAAGGGAAATCTCCATATAGAAATCCGACGGAGGCAGCGACAAGGTGGGGGAGGCGCCGCCGCCAATTGTACCAGGCGTCGATGTGGTGGTGTTCGACGAGGGGGGAGACGATCTCCAACATCGGCGGAGAAGGGCCTCCTGCAACGGGTTTCGGCGGCGGCGTTTGAAGGGTGACTCCGGCGGCGGCGGTCTACAGATGTGAAGAAGAAGAAAAAAAAAAAAAAAAAGAAAAAAAAAAGCTGTAACAGAGAGAAATAGCGAGAGAATGAAAGAGAGAGAGGCGAGAACCGAGAGAATGAAATTGAGGGAGAAATAAAATTGTATTATATTAAAACCCTAACACATAAGGGCACTTTAGTCTTATCATGGCTGGTAAGGGGGGTCTCACTAATTTAGATTGGAATGTGGGTTATGGGAAAAGTCTTTAAAGTCAATTGGGTTTAGTTCAAAATATTTTCTAAATAAGGGGTGTATTGCATATTTCCCCTTTAATTTAATTTAACCTCAATTTGACCCCAATTTTTACAAATTATTCAATTTTGACCCAAAATGCAATTTTTAGTACAATTTCGTTTGTCGCCGCCGTTGATCGCTGGTCTCCGACATTGAGTTTTTTTTCGTTAACATCTTTTTGCCCCGTTTAAACAACAATATAGTTGTGGTTGCCAGTAATATTAATATTAACTATATTATTGTTAAACACAGTAATATTAACTATACTACAGTTTAACACGGTAATATTGCTATATTAATCTCTAGCACAGTAATATTAACACAACAAAAATCAGTATTATAGTGTAATAGAGTAATATTAATATGTTGACCGTTCAACAAAGATAAACATAATAAAAATCCAAAAGAATTAATATTGATGTGGTTGAGACAACCACAAAAATATTATTGTGTTTACAATAATATTACAATAGTAGACAGTAATATTATTACGATAATCCGTCAACAACTCAAACACAGAAAACCCCAAAAAATGTAATATTGATGTGGTTGACAGTAATATTTTTGTGTTTACAATTATTTTACCGTAATGATTACGTTGACTTGTCAACAAATCAAACAAAAAAAATCAAAAAAAATAATAATATTGTCGCTCACTGTAATTGTACAGTCAACGGCAGTACAGTTACATAAATGTACTATCAATGACAGTATAATTACGTTAATGTATGTCATTGACAGTTAATTATTGTTAACGATAATACAATTACGGTTAACATTTAGCGGCAGGGTAAAAAAAAAAGTCAACGCCGGAAGCCAGCGGCGGAAAAAAAAATCAAAAAGTCAATGCCGGAAACCGCCTGCAACAAAACTAATTTAAGAAAAATAAAAGTAAAAAAAAAATTCAAAATTGGATTTTTATGGGCAAAATTGATTAAATTGTGGTTACAATTAAGAATTTGGTGTAAAGCGTGGGGGTAATTTTGTCATATACATTAATTTTTCTTTATTTATAATCTTATATATATAAAAAAAAAAACGTTGGGCAACCCTAAAAATCCTAATGGTATTTCTGTAATTAAATATTTTAATATTTTTTACTCTACTAATTTATAACTATAATCTTTAACAATTATCAGAATTGAAACTAAATCCTGAAAAATCTTATGTCATGGTACTTTTGTAATTATTTATTTTTAATATTTTTTGTCTACTAATTCTTTAACTATAATTTTCAATAATTATCAATCTTCTATTTTTCATCACTATATCTCAAATCTTAAGAGATAAAGATAGAAATTCGATTCATTATTAATCTATATATTTGGATTATAAATCTTAATATGTCAGATTTAAAAAAAAAAACTAATATATATAAAATATGAATTATAATACATTATTAAATTTTAGTACGTTAGTATACTATATTTTCTTATCATGTATTAAACTGATTAATTTTTTCACTTTTGAAATAATGTCTCGTGCATCGCACGGGAAAAAAATGCTAGTACATATTAAAGGGATGTGCTTATTGGCGAAAAATATATAATCCCTGAGCCTAGAATAATAAAGATAGTTGGCGAGAGATTTATGCACAAAAACACCTATATTTAATTGAATTTTATGTTTAATTTTTTTTAATTGAAAATCAATCTGTCTATTGTCTATTTTTTTGGACCATATTTGGTTTGGATGGTCGAAATTTTCTGTTCAATTCATTCAAAATACTCTTAATGCCTTTCGCATTAATATATAACAAAATGCATTTCACCCCCTAAAAAATTCATATTTTCGCACTTTCTCACTAAAAAATCCAATAAGGCATAACGGCCTTTCGAATATTGTTTTGGTTGCATTTTGCCCCAAAAACCAATTTTTGGTGGACATCGTGTACTAAAAATAACATTTTAAACATGCAATGTGCGGAAAAATATTTTTTTAAGTGGTAATATGCAACAAAAATAACATTTAAATGGGTAACGTACAACAAAAACTCTCTATTCCGGTGAATAGTCCATCGAAATTTTATTATCGGGACAATGTGCAACAATAATAACATTTTGAAGGGGGGCTGTAGACATCGAAATTTTGAAATAAATCACTAATTAATAATCCAATAAATTGATTATTAAATTGGGTCTCACTCAAAGTCCATTATATATTTGGGCTTTACAAATGACCGGCCCATCCTACAAGTCAAGAAACCCTAGCTCGTGGCTATAAAAGAGGGCTTTCGGTGCATATAAAAGACAGACTCACAAAGACACATATCGAGCTCTCAAGCTCACGTCTCGAGCCTCCACCTCGAATTCATAACATATTTGAATTCGAGGTGTCCGTGATATAAAATAATTCGTTCGATTTAAGAACAATCTTTTAAGCCCTTAAATCAAATATAGAATAGGAGAGAAGAATCAGGGGAATTCCCGTTTTATTATTAATAATTATTTGTTCCAATTTTTCTTGTATCGTATTTATATATTTTGCAGACTCGTAAAATTTGCGGTTAACAGGGACATTAACATTTTTTAAATTTAGAGTGCAAAAGTAAGAAACTTAAGAGGGGTGACATGCAATTTGCCCTTTAATATATCTCATACCATAACTATACCGAACACATTTAAAATTTTTATCGAAATACCAGAATTATTACCACCAATATCCAGATTGCCATTTAAATTAGGTTATAAGTACCCACATCAACTTATAAAGTTCCTTCATTACTATTGATAAAATCAATTCTATCAACAAACAAAAATTATTTGGAATGCTTCCAAAGAGGCAAACGAAAAAGCTCCAATAATACAAGCAAAATTTCAATTCTGAACTTTATTTAATTATTCTTAACTTGAGATTGGAAGTTTCGAGATCGTACGTCGTCGTGTTCCATAATCGGAGAACGATTAATCACCAAAAACAACAAGGGCAATAATGGCTAAAAATGGATCCCCTTAGAGGCTTTTTGTAACAATCTCTGATGTAATTCAGTGCTTGATTTTGTGTGAGATTTCTCTCCTCAACCAATGCCTTCATTATGATATCTTTATACGCCTTCGATGGTCCGCATATCGGCAGTTTATTTGATCTGAACGCTTCCATTTTTAATGGTGAGCATCTGCACATATGTATATGTTTGTTTTTAATTAGAAAACATAAACAAACTAGCTTTTGTGTAAAACTATATATGAAATTTATTATATATATATATATATATGATAAATTCTGATTTTCCTCTTTGTACTTTGACTCGATATCACTATATCCCTTCTACTCTCGATTAATCGATTTGACCCTCTGAACTTGAAAAATTGTCTCAATGTGGCACGTACTCGACGTTAGTTTTCAGACATTTGACCTGAACACAGTTTGGTATAAACTCTGAAATTACAAAAAAACTACTCTTCCCAGTTTAAATAATTAAAGAAAAAAATTGTGGTTGCCGTCGTACACTATGCTTTCCCGTTGTCTTGATTTTTTTAATAATTACTTAAATTGGGAGGGGTGGCGTTTTTATAATTTCAGAGTTTAGATCAAACGGTGTTAAGGTCAAATGTCTGACAACTAACGGCCATATTGAGACAATTTTTCAAGAACAAGGGGCAAATCGATATTAAGAGTACAAGGGGTGTAAGTGATACCAAGCCATAGTACCAGGGGATCGAGGGGGAAGTTGAATTTGCCCTATGGTATATTAAATCGTTATAAGATATCGAAACGGGAAGTTCTTACGTAAATGTCAACACCGGTAGTTTCTGCTCTTTTCCCAAGTAGAGAACTGTTCTGTACCATCCTTTCTGAAAACAAAATAATCAACCACAAAGCACTTTTTATATATTATATATATACTAGTAGAAAAATGGCTTTTTACTCCTGATTTTTTTTTATACGTTTAAAAGTTGTTACAAAACGTACATTTTATTATGCGACAATCTGGGAGTCGTAATAAATGCTAGGTTACGGTAGCAAAAAAATATTTGCTACGGCCTTTTTTCGTAGCAAAGTTTTTATCATGCCCGCCCGTATCTGCTACGGGGCAAATTCATATCAAATTCGTAATAAAAGCATTATTACTACACTTTTGATATTTTTTACCACAGTGAATAGTCGTAATAAAAAGTCATTTTTCTACTAGTGATATGTGCTCTATATAACACACACACATATATATTTCGAATCGTAATATGCAATTAACATAGAATTGTCGGCATTACATTATTATTACCTTAAGAGCCTTCACAAATTTGTACCCATGATTATTCCTAACGATGTAATTCAAGTCAGTCAAGCCGAACAACGGAGAAGTCATCACATGTGTTCTAGTATTTTCTTGTCTTAGAACATCGTTGAACTGCTGAAGACTTTAAAAAAAATCGATACAAATTAGTCGATTTAAGTAACATACGAAGGAATAATACATATATGTATACATAAATAAAAATATATGCTAATTCATAATCATAAGCTAATTACCTGATTTTATACAACCTAATATGCGCTCTATGCATCCTACTCCTGTATAAATCAAGAAACGCAACGCCTCCAGGACCCCATGTTTTTGTCGCGTTACGCCCGAAAAACATACGATAAGGAACAGCGCGCCATTTCACCTCCGTTGGTCGAGTTTTGTCCCTACTACCTTCGCATGCCTCTTGCATTCCCGCAACCTATAATTTTTTAAATAAAATTTCAATAAAGTAACGTATAATATAAAACCGCAAATACTTCCACACATTTTCTAATCATAATAGAATTTATTGTTTAAGGAAAGGAAAAAAAAAACAAGAAATAATTTCTAGAACTTACTAGTCCACCTTCGATATAACAAAGAAATCTTTTCATCTCCATATTTGATCCATATGAAGCATACCATACAAATGTCTTGGGTATCTCCTCTATTTTTGGCACTATAAAAATCACATATGTTACTATTAGTATTAATACAACAAATGAAACGGTCTAATTAAACCTTAATTATCATTACAAGATCCATTATTAAATTCGAGTAATGCATCTCCCTCAGGCGCCATAGGTATGCTTTCAGAAGATCCATTACAGTGAGCACTCACAATCTGTACAATGATAATAAAGCATTATTTCATACTTAGAAAAAATGATTAAGACTATGATTTTCATACAATGAAAAAGTGATTAAAAAATAAAATGTACCAAAATCATCAGAAATACCAATGATATGGAACTCGTGCGCAGCTCCCATCGTCTCATTTTCAGTTTTTTTTCTGTCCCGCGTCGAAGATCGATTATATTATGTAATGGTGGTCGGTTATTCAATCACTACAGACAAATTGGATTCGAGCTCCTGAAAAAGAGTTTGGTTTATTCGAAAAAATTATGACCGTGTGATGTGGTAAAATTAGTTTAACTTTTGCAGGATTTGGTGATAAATGATGATCTTAGCCAATGGAGTTTCACTTAAATGAAATTTTCTTCTATAAAGTTGACTCCATATATTTATATTTGTAATCAATGTACATCTACTAATATTTTCTTCAATAAATTAAGATAATGGTGTACTTATAAGGAGATTATAACTCTTTTTGACGAGTAACAGAAAAAAGGAGTTGCTTTTTAAAAAGTAAAGTGGTTAGAACTTTAGTTTTTCTAGTGTGAGATTCCAGCAACACAGCTTATATGAGATATGCCTCTTAAATCGTGTCACGTATCCCAACAATATAATTGAATTTTTAATGATTTGTGTATTGTCAAAAAGCCCTTATTAGAAATCATTAATATTCAAAAACATAAATAATAAATTTTATGTGAAATGTCTTCTGTAGCCCTTATATTTTTATAAATTTTAAATCTATTTATTGCTAAATTTTAATTTGTAGAGTCAATTATATCATTCATCATTATCCTTAAAAATAATTAAACCACCAATCCAAAACTGCATCATGCAGAATTCGAACTTGTGACCATTATAAAGCATACAAGAATACCATTCTCGGCTTTTGGTTTGAGGTATTGTCACGAATCTGCTAATCCCTCGATCAATTAAACGATGTTTTGTTTTGTTGATATTTCGGTCTAAATTAATAATACTTGGCCAATGTATCAAATGCCCTTCAATTATAATATACAGTTATCCATTTTCATTTTCTTCATAATACCGAGTTGCAGATCCCCAATATCCTACCCCTCTATATTGTAGCCCTAAGTTGAATGTCTATAAAACGCAAATACATCGTAATTTGGTTCCATTCTTCGGTAGTTTTTGTAGAATGAGTACTGGTGGTAGTAGTTCGAAAAGGGGATCGAGCAGCAATGAACACGGTGGATTCGACACAAATCAACCTGATATTTGTGAGTGTGGTTTCAAGCTTCGTTTACAAACTTCTTGGACCCCAACCAACCCAGGGAGACAGTTTTTATCTTGCCCACAAAGGGTAACTTTATCTTCTATTATCAATATCAATCTATTACAATTCATTTTATAATACCCTGTATTAGTGGTTAAAAAATGTTGTGAATCTTAAATGAGGTTCACATGGTGTTTAGTCAAACTTTATTGAATTTGATGAATGCTGCTAACTTGTATTTGCCTTTGTGTTGAATTTAACATCGTGCCTTATGTATAAAGGTAATCTCGATCGAGAATATTGGAAACTTACGAACAGTTAACACCTAAACAATATGCTGCATCTTATTTAAAATGTATTTCAAAAACATGTACGTGTAAGGTAAATAACTTTACGCAGATTGAATAATATGTATTTGATAACATTTTCAGATCAAAGGTTGTGGAACTTTCTATTGGTGTGATCCCCCAATGTGCAACATATCGAAACAAATAATACCGGGATTGATCAAAAGAATAAATGCTCTACAAGCCCAAGTTCCTTTGGAAGTTCCGAAATTATTGAAAAAAAATTCTGATTTGGAGTCTAAAATGACGCTAATGAATGATTTGAAAAGTAAAAATGCCATGAGTAAATCGTATGGTTGGTTTGTTACTTATGTTGTTGCAGTTGTATTTGGTTGCTTTGTTTTATGTATATCTTTTTCTTAGTAAGTCTTATTTGTATGTGTTTTCAACTAAATAGGCAAACGACTTCAGTAATGTTCCTTCGATATGATTTTGTTATTTGGTATCCAATTTGATTCCGCATGTAATGTTTGCAGATGTTCATATCTGTATTATCCTAAACATTGTTTAAACTTCAGTAATTTAGTTAGATTGTGCAAATATTTTGAGGTACAGTGGTTTAATGGTTATTACTTAATATTACGTACATATTGCATAGTGATTTAGTTACGTTTTGCATATGTTTGATGTATAATGCAGAACTGCATAACAATGAAATGCGCAATTAATTGTAATTAGACGACTGTGCACAGCTGATATAAGCTAAAATCCATTTAATTTCGATTGAAAATTGGGAACTAAGTCCCTTTGAATAGATAAGAGTTAGCAAAATACCATGCCGGAAGATTTTGAAAATTTGGGAACTTAGTCCGTTACAAACCGTAAAAAACTAGTGCTGCGTAAGTAAAAACCTATTTAACGAAATGAACATGTAATCACTATTCCAGAACGACCCTACGTTAAAACCGAAGACACTTGTGAATCCGAATCATCACCGAACTTAATGTGATCACTGATGCTGACGGCAGGCTCGACATTAACAACTGCAACAAGTTCATTGTTATTGTTGACATTGTTCTCAACTTCGACACGAACAATTTCGACAGGAACTTCATTTTGCCCTTTTTCTGCCTCTTCTTCATTGTCAATCACAAATGGATAGTCAGGGTCATATCCCGTAATGCCTCGAAAATTTACCGGCGGTGCTTATTTATCTTTAAACACAAATTTGCATTCATTGTAGAAAGGAAAACTGTTGACCCTAAACACCATGTCTTCCTCCGTCTCCTACAATTTGCACGCGTATTTTATTAACATGTCTTGAGATAAATAAATAAACAAAGAGAAAACCTCCAACATTTTTTCCTTAACTATCTCACCCGTCGATTCCAAGACCATGCACTCCTATTAAGAGTAATCTTCTTAGTAGATTGATTGAACACCAGACCATCTTGCGCAACGTAAGCTTTAAACGATATGAAGCGGTTTCGAAACTACTTGTTGAGTGTAAATTTTACGCTCAATACGTTTACTTTACGTGGATCTTTTATTTAGATTTAATTATATTTGTGCTTTTAATTGATTGATTTTGTGTTTTATAGGTGAAACGATAATTAGGTGTCCATGAAGAAAAAAAGATCAAAAAGAAAGGAAAAAGTTGCAAATAAGGAAATAAATCAAATTGGAAGAAGGAATCTCGCCACAACTTTGGCAGTGTCCACCATTTCGAGCATATCTCTCTTATACGAACTCCAAATCAGCTGATTTTGGCGGCATTGGAAAGCTAATTTCAAGGGTTACAACTCTCATTTATGGAACATTCCGAAATTCGGACTCCAACATGGCGAAAATCGAAGAACAAATCCTAGTGGAGGAAAGTGGCGGAAATAGATTCCTAATAGGTTTCTACTACGTCCTTATCAAGAAAAGCCTATAAAAGCAACAAGTCCCTACACCATAAGCACGAAAATTGACACCACAAAAAGCGAGGAACGAAGATCAACCAAGACTCAAGCATAGTTTATCTTATTTAATTTATTTATTTTATTTTCTTTATCATAAGAATCACGAGTAGCTAAGTCTTTATTTCTCGGATTTTATTTGGAACCCTATGTGGGATTTATGAACCCAGTTCTATGATTTTATGCAAGTTTTAATCCCGGATTATTTCTTCTACTTGTTTTATTAAGTGCATGAATTTGATCACCTTATGTGCTTTTATGTTATTGTTAATCGCATGAATCGGAAGATCGGGTTAATAATTAGAACTGTGGTAGAAGAGCCTTTGTGGTATTAACATAGGAATATAGTTAATCTCTTAGGTAGCCATTATTGAGATTTGTGTTTAATGCTGTGTTCTAAATTAATTGCATAGGAATATAGTAATTGAATCTAGAGGATTAGAATCGTAATACACGCGGAAGCGGGTTATAATTTAGCATCTCAGATTAATAATTCGGGTTAATTGCTTGCATAATTGAAGGAATTGAGGGAGTAATAATCATATAGGGGGAAGAATAAAATCCTAGGCTTGTTTACTTGATTAATCTTCTTGTTTAAATTGCTTTCTTGCTTTGTCGTTTTAATTTGCTTTTCGATTTATTTTAGTTAATTCTCTCTAAATTTGACTGTGTAGGGTGGGCTTGATAATAATTGGTAGGATTTAGCGTCTAGGATTAAATAATTAAATATTCCCTGTGGGTTCGATATCCGGACTTTTAGTCCACTATATTACTTGTACGATACGTGCACTTGCGTGTAGGTTTTCGACCAACAAGTTTTTTGCGCCGTTGCCGGATAATATTTTAATTATTTTATTCTAGCTCTAAATTTGAACAATTTTCACGATTCACCCAAATTAATTTTTATTTTATTTTATTTTATTCTTTTCGTTTTAATTTTTTTTTTAATATTTTTTTTTCTTTGGTTACATGTCAGGTTACAATTTTCGTGCACCTCAAACGGGATATGAATGGCTTCCATCTGGCGAATACCTCCAAAATACCTATGATATGCCGTCACTTTGTTCAATATGTGGTGGAGATCATTACACTAACCAATGTTGGTATGCACCGAAAGCAAATAATTTCATAGATAACACCAACGACGGTTATTGGAACACATACACCAACACGCCACGAGAACCCACTGTTCAGGAGTGTTATTTGAACTCCGTCCTTGAAGAATTTATGAAATCCACTCAAGCATCTATCCGAAGACTGGAGATACAGTTAGAAGAATTCAAGCGCCAGATGTCTCTTGAAAATATTTCAGACGATATCGAGAATGGTTGCAACAAAGAAAATCCGTCTGAAACTTGTAGTGAGAAAAATCCGTTAGACCTGGAAAGTAGTGTCGATGAGAGGGAAAAAGAAATTACGAAGACGCTTAAGGATGATGAATCTGAGAATGCAATCGAGCTAAACTCCAAAGATATCTTGGAACAAGAGATGAAGGGGATGGATGTGGTTAGTGCAAATATTCAAATTGAGGATCTTATCGTTGTTCCTGGTGTGGCTTTGAAGGAATCAATAGAGGTTGATGAGAAGGCGAATGTGTTTGAAGTGGAGGTTATACGAAGACTTGAAGCTTTTGTGTACCGATTTGAGGGAGCGGGTGATGAAGATCCCATCTTGGCTTCGTACCGATTGATTACATCCAAGAAAGATTACAAGCTAAAGTGGACCCTGACATATTGCAATGCTATTGATGTATTGGTTCCAATTGAAGTTATAAATCCAATGGATGGATGCGCAATCTACAAGGCTTTGGATTGAACATAAAAATTTCAAGAAGCAACGTCCGGCTGAAGACTTTAAACTTAGCGCTTCTCGGGAGGCAACCCGAGCTTTACTCTTTTTTATATTTTTCTTTAATTTTATGTTTTATTTTTATTTTCATAGGCATGCATTCTAATTAATTTATTTGATTTCTTATTTTTAAGGTCGGAATTGCGATCAGGACGGTCATCCGAGAGACAGAGAGGGCATCTTCGCAAGAGGAAAATCAAATTTCTTTCCCACAAATTCTCACACCCCGAAGACATCGACTCCGACTAAATCAGGTGTTTTCTATCCTTAAACTTTGTGCTAATTTCGTTGAGGGCAACGAAAATTTTAAGTTTGGGGGTGAAAAACATATGTTTATGCTTATTTGTTTTAGTTTGCATGCATTAGGCTTTATTTGTTTTTATTGTTTTTATTGCTTATATCGTTTTTCTTTTCGGAATATAAAAAAAGAAAAAAAAAATTGCTTGAGTCGAATGCATCGATGATTTATGATGATGAGAGATGATCAATGTTTGATGATGAGATTGCTTGTTTTGTGTGATAATGATTTGATGTTTGTTTAGCTTTCGATTCAACGGAACTTAGAAGCGAATTATTGCTAGGAATCACACTTTGTGCATTACTTTGGTTGAATGTTTTGTATTTTAAATTTGGAATTAATTTGTGCTAGATCATGCTATGTTCGGTTTTAGAACTCACCTTAGGAAATTTATCATACGAAGTATTGAGTAGTGAGTGATTTGGGATATGATTTGGGCCTTCTTTGAACCGTTTCAGCATTTCAAGCCGACCTTTTTATCGAAATTATCCTTAGAACCTTGATTTGAGCCTCGGAGAAAATGTGTTCTTTCTTTTAGCCAATGTGTAAGGTAGAATAGGTGGAGATTCTTGAAAATTACCCCTTCGAGTTCGGTCGAAAATCTTTATAAGGTCTTTCTTCTTCTTCTTCTTCGAAAAAAAAAGAAAAAAAGAAGAAGACAAATATCTATGATTCTATATATATATATATATATATATATATATATATATATATATATATATATATATATATATAAAATAAAAAAATAAATAAAAAAAAAGAGAAGAAAAAGAAGAGATTAGAAGGGAGAAATAAGGACTAGTTGTTGAAATTATTTTTGAAAGCTCGATCCATTGCCTCAAAAACAAAAGTGGAGACTTTTGAAATTTTGAGAATCGAGTTTATTAAAGTCCTTAGAGGTGAATTCATTGTTTCAAACGCCTATCTTTCAAATTTTGGCATAATCACTTCAATTCAAGAATAATAGCCACATATACCCATATTTCCTACCTCGAACCAAAGAGCCTAACAATTGGAAGCTACAAAGCCCCAATGATCCCAATAGCTTGATGTTCGATATTAGTAGAGTAGAATAATTTGGTGAGTATTTGGAGTCAAACATATGCATGTAAGTATAAAATTGTTTCTATCTTTAATTTACAAATATTGAATGCTTGAAGCAATTGCATGATTTGTGGTTTTTGGCTATGGTAAGTGACTAAGTGCTTTTGAATTTCGAACTTGCGAATTCCTAAGAATTTTCATTATAATTACAAGTTCTGAAAACGTGAAGTTGGTCATTAATCTATGTGATGAGATGCGGTAGTTGAGTTATTTGCTTACGATTAGATTTTGCTTGAGGACAAGCAAAAGTTCAAGTTTGGGGGTGTGTTGAGTGTAAATTTTACGCTCAATACGTTTACTTTACGTGGATCTTTTGTTTAGATTTAATTATATTTGTGCTTTTAATTGATTGATTTTGTGTTTTATAGGTGAAAACGATAATTAGGTGTCCATGAAGAAAAAAAGATCAAAAAGAAAGGAAAAAGTTGCAAATAAGGAAATAAATCAAATTGGAAGAAGGAATCTCGCCACAGCTTTGGCAGTGTCCACCATTTCGAGCATATCTCTCTTATAAGAACTCCAAATCAGCTGATTTTGGCGGCATTGGAAAGCTAATTTCAAGGGCTACAACTCTTATTTATGCAACATTCCAAAAGTCGGACTCCAACATGGCGAAAATCGAAGAACAAATCCTGGTGGAGGAAAGTGGCGGAAATAGATTCCTATTAGGTTCCTACTACTTCCTTATCAAGAAAAGCCTATAAAAGCAACAAGTCCCTACACCATAAGCACGAAAATTGACACCACAAAAAGCGAGGAACGAAGATCAACCAAGACTCAAGCATAGTTTTTCTTATTTAATTTATTTATTTTATTTTCTTTATCATAAGAATCACGAGTAGCTAAGTCTTTATTTCTAGGATTTTATTTGGAACCCTATGTGGGATTTATGAACCCAATTCTATGATTTTATGCAAGTTTTAATTCCGGATTATTTCTTCTATTTGTTTTATTAAGTGCATGAATTTGATCACCTTATGTGCTTTTATGTTATTGTTAATCGCATGAATCGGAAGATCGTGTTAATAATTAGAACTGTGGTAGAAGAGCCTTTGTGGTAT